GTCCGGGAGACCCCGAGCTCGCCGTCCGGTGCAGTCTCTCTTTCTCTCTCTCCCGCCTTCAACACCACCACCGGTCTCTTCTCGCTTCCTACAGCTGGTTTAGCTTCTTCTAGGGTCCCTTTCTTTCTCGCCCTCTCGTGGTTCCTGTATAAGTACACTCCCGCTTATAAGTATTAGGACACTCATCGAATATGCAGTAAATGTTATTACAAGGCATTACGAAATTGCTGAAAGTGTGAAATAAATATTGTTTAGGGGATATTAAAGCTCGATGGGTAAGAGGTTTATGCTACTATAAAATAACAAAAGTGGCTTGGAATATACAATAGTTTTTACGATACGTCACATTTTATTCGTACAGACCAGGTGTTTTAATACTTATGAGCGGTAGTGTACCGTAAACCATGGACACAAAGATCCACGCATACCGTGTGCGTACACGTGGGCAGCGGTGCTGGTACCTAGACTAATTCCCAGAGACAAACACTTTAATTATAACCTTCCTGCGCCCAGCTACATACGTTGGATCGCGGTATCGGGGCGGGGTGCTTTTATTAAAACCGAGCACACCATCATCGGTGATATGCTAACGATATTATCCGATTAACCGGTAGCAGAGAGTGTGTGCCCTGCCTGGCCCCTTTCCTCACACACGGGACCCGAGTTTCAAAACAACCAAGAAAACCTGTTGTGCTTGTGCCGGACCGAGAACCTCTGTTACTCCTTCGCGTATATTCTCTACATTTTATCGACTTTCAACCGGCGATCCGGCGAGTGCTTCGAGAGTCAGTGTGATTTTGATTCTCCTAAGTTTCTGCTCAAAAAAAAAAAAAAATGGAGCAGGTTTAGGGGCATGGCCCACGAAGCGTGTGTGTGTGTGTGTGTGTCTGTGTCATCTATTTCGTAGCGTTAAGCCCGTCTAAGAACCGGGTATCGCGTGCTACCGTCACGAGCTTCCTTCGGGGTACATTGCGGCTAGGGCATTGTGTATTGTGCCTCCTTATAATACCCACCGAGGTCAATACCGGTGTTCCACCGCGTGTACATGGGCTATCGGCTGGCAGATGTATTCGGTTACAGAGCGTTCTCCGGTGGACGAGATTCCCGATCGTAAGATTGTATTTCCGAGATCGACGTAACGCTGTAGTACGATCATACCGAATCAACAAGTATCGCGTCGTCGATACGTAACGCGGATATCGATCGCGGGGTGGGGGTGGGTCGGTGGTAAGAGCGATCGGGGGAAATTGCCTAAAATCGCCAAGTCGCCCTCGAACGATCCTGAACGTTCTTGGAGGTTCTCGAAGAAACATTCATCCTACATACGCACACTCTCGCTATCTCTCACACCCACAGGAGAAATAATAAAATCTTTGAGAATTATATATTTAATGTTAATTTGTATTAAGAGGTTGATAGTTGTTGATTTCACGTTCTATAAATTTTTGTATAGTAAGGAAAAAAATTCGGCCTATAGAGGGTTAAAATTCAAGTTTTCAAGGGACCTTACGGACCGCCCCCGTGACGATGAGAATCGATTCGAGAACCCGTTAACAAACACTCGCCATCGTCATCCATTTTCCACCCCCTCTCCGATGAAGGGTTAATTTAATTACGGGTACCGTTACCCAGTCCTCCGGCCGGTGTTCTTTATCGCGTGTGCACAACAAAGGTGTCAATTTTTATCCCGCGACCGATACATATCCACCGACCTACCGAGCACGCGACACGGACCACGCGCGCAGCATCCTCCCCCCGATTCAAATCCGAAAAAAACATTGGCTGCGCTTTCCGCATCGTCGTCTCGTCGATCCACCATCACCCCCCTTTTACGTGTCACGTGCGGGTAACTCTCCCGCGTATGTACGTGTACATCCTGATACGAGTTTCGGGAATAATGGCGGCACCGGGTACACCCGGCGTCGATTCATTTTTACCCAATTTCACGCGCCGGTTCACCGGCCACCACCACCATCCCCCAGTCGCGCATCCACCGTTCCTCCTCGCCGAAATCGTTTCCCTTCCCGTGTGCCCCTACCGTCAACGATCGTTGTTCACGACCCCCCCGCCCCGATTTATCTCTGTTTCTTTTTTTCCTACGCGTGCAACGTTCCTCCTCTGTTCGAAAACCGCGCGCGCGGTTCCCTCTTAATTTTCATCGCGCGAGCGCGCTCGCTGTTTTCGGCATTGCGGTTTATTTCCGCGGTGGACCCCCACGGGCGTACGTGTAATGCGTTTTCCAATTGCGCGCCATCGGATTCCGCCCCTGCTTGCATGCCTGCATACCCCCTCGACCCAGTGGAGGCCGCGTGTTCCGGTCGTGAACCGATCGAAATTTACTCGCGGCGACGAAACGGGCCGCGTGTTCACGCGTGCACGCGCGGCGCACACCGCATCCTGCCCTCCACCCCCCTTACACCCCTTCACCGCCTTTCCGCCGCGCTCGAAATGAACGCACGCGTCCGCATTTTAATGCACTTTGGGGTAAATTCATTTCGCCCGAATAACGCCGCGTCTCGTTAGCTTTTGCTCGCTCGTTTCCCATCTCTCTATATGCCATCGATGCTGCTTCCGGTCTCTTGTCGTAGTTCTCTTCTATTTTCGATCCCACGCAATTCAGGGTATCGTTGCTTTGATACGTTTTTAGAACGAGTCCGATATAGGTAATAGAATTGTTCGTGTTGCGTTAGTTCGCGAATAGACTCAAAAAACGATTAAATTCCTGTGTCCTAACTTTCCGAAATCGAGTGTTTTTATTATTTCTGTTCAAGCTTATTTTACAGGTATTGAATAGGTACTTTGTAATACATAGATCGATACATCTATATGAATACCGTGGATAGTTCCCCATGGTATTGTACATATAGTATCGAAATGCACCTGCTGTACATATATAATTCTCGTAAAAACAGGTCCCCGTGTTTTTCCTTTCTCTCTGTTTTTCCACCGTTTCCTCTTGTACTCGTTCCCGTGTCACGCATCGCCTCTTGTTAAATCGTACCACCTGGCCAGATGTTAACAGCCGTTCGTACGGTCGGTGTTGCACGCCAGAACTCTTTTTCTCGTCGGAACGCGCGACTACCATACCGGCGATCATTACGGATTCGTATTAAATCACGGTTTTATACAAGCTCATTGCTAGGCGGCTGTTTCCCATCGAATTTCTCGATTTCTCTCGGCGGGTGAACCCCGAGTGTTGCTCGATCAGAGACGCGAAAAAAATCGAAAGATCGTAGGATCGATGTCTCCACGGCCTTGTTATCGCCTCCACAGTGGCGATTCAATACCGCGGGATTTTAGCCGGTGGCTTATGCGCGGATTCGGGCCGTGGACATGTCGTAATGAGATTTAGTTTCACCGCGCGCGCGCGCGCGCGATACCCCTTGTTCCGCGTAATTGTAGCGTAACGTTGCGTAACACCCCGGCCCGTGGTAATTAATAATTTTACATTAATTATGCAGCGGAATGGCTCAACATACTAATTAACGTCACGGGCGAATATTCGCGAAACGGTTGCTCCTTGGTATTTCTCGTTTCAAGAACAGTGGAAAATTGTGTGGTGATTCGCACGGATCGACGAATTTATTAGCGTTACACACTTCCCAAGAAGAGAATAACTCGTCGGACGATGCGTGTCTAGATGACTAACGTATCGCTACTCGTCGAGAGCGTACCTTGATAAATTATCCAATTCGAGCGGGTAAGCGCGACCCTCCCGCGAAATTATTTATGCCGCGAGCTAACGAAAAATTCTGCGCGACGCGATACCACCGGTTAAATATGGGACCGCGCGATGGGCTCCCTTTTAGCTTCGAGGGATATGCGCGTGTACGATAACGTGGATACGAAAATACACCGAGGGGAGGATTTTTATTCGTTGAGGGTGGAGACACCTTCCCCCAAACGACGTTCTCGTGAACAAAATTGGTGGAAGTTCAGGGAAAGGATGAACGAAGAGTCTAAGAGTAAAGCCATTGGCGTCTGCCAAGCCATTTCCTCTTTTGCCCTTTACTATTCACTGTTCGTCACAAATCTTCCAGTTTGGAACATATCGAGACACAGTTGACTAAAAATCCTCGTGATATGTATTCTTCGCATGAAAAATGAATGATCGATCGGAGGAAAAAAACGCGACACTAAACGAAATAGAGATGTGTATTCGCGATCCTCGATGACAGAACGCCAGACCGGGACTTTTAATTAATTAAAAGTGAGCAGCTGGTGCACAGTAAGCGACGCGCGCGGACTCTTCCCAATTTTCACGCAATTATACACGTTGTCCGCAGTTTTGTAGGACATTTCCCCGTGACTAACGGGTAACGCCATTGTTGCCCAGCGAGAGAATGGATTGATGGGAATAATAGGCGTGAGAGAGACAATGAGAGACAGAGGGGGTCGGGTCACGTCACCACCGGCCAGTATCAATTATTTTCAAATTACGATTTTCACCGTAGCACGCGTACAATTGATTTATCCTCGTCGGCCGTGCCTGAATACGCGATAGATCCGTGTCGTTCCCGGCGCGTGAAACGCCTCTCTGGACACCTCCATTTTTTTCCGCTTCGAAGTCAACGCGAATACTCGCCAATATATACTGTATACCCTACCACCATGATAGCTTCGATCACGAAGCTTTCGTTGAAAATTATACTAGGATGATTCATAAGTATTGATACACTCTGCAATGCCGGTGATGGTAGTGTATATCGTATTAAAAATTCCATCAGGTTCAAAACAATGTAAAAATCATACTGTGGTGTATTAAACGTTTTAATGCACTGAGCTTTAAACAATCATTTGGACGATAAAGGCATAAAATCGGCAGGCTACTGATATGTAATATTTACGAGTCAATGTTTATGAATCATCCTAATGATCTAGAGAAAATCTGTGAAATTAATTGAACAAGTTAATTCCCACCCGCTGACTTTTCTTTTTTCTCTGTTCGAACAGCGTGCAGCTTGCGAGGAAATCGAAATGGTCGAGCTGTGCGGTAGCGGACAACCGACATCGGCGATGGGTGTGCTGGGCTTAGGCTCGGTGGTGTCCGCTGCGACGTCGTCCTCGTCCTCGTCGACGACGACCACCACCACGGCTGCGTCCTCCGCGTCTGGTCGCGCAGGTGTATTGGAGACGCAGGTACGCGGCCAATGGTATCGCGTGTTCGTCTCCCTCGAAGACGATTATCTCAGTATCTCGTTGGACGAGAGCTGCGAGACGACCGGCAACAACAGCCTGAACAACGGGAACATCAACAACAATAACGTGGACAGCTTGAACGATCCCGATGTGCCCGATTCGGTGGCCAATCAGAAGCGTATCGTACGCGTGGTGAAGAGCGACAACAACGGCCTCGGGATTTCGATCAAGGGCGGCAAGGAGAACAAAATGCCGATCTTGATCTCGAAGATCTTCAAGGGGATGGCGGCAGACGCGACCGAACAGCTGTACGTGGGCGATGCGATCCTTGCGGTGAACGGTGAAGATCTACGCGAGGCGACCCACGACGAGGCGGTGAAGGCGCTCAAGAGAGCTGGCAAGGTCGTCGAGCTTGAAGGTGAGTACATTACCGATATATCTCGTCTCTTCTTTGTCGATCGTTCGAACGACGCGGTCCGACCGGTGTCCGCCGTCGTTGCTCGGTAATCGTTCGGTGTGTATGCGCGTTGCAGGCAGATCGGTTTATGAGATACACCACCGTTCATAACTATGCGGATACTTGGCCTGTATGATGGAAATGTGATGTTTTGTAAAAATTGTATATTTCAGGCCACGTTTATTACTTCATATCAGCGTAAGCCTTGTCCGTCGAGCTTTAATTATCCTCTAAACAATATTTATTTCAAGCTTTCAACAATTCCGTAATGCCTGATAACATTTACTGAACATTCGATAAGTGCCCACATACTTATGGCCGTTTAATGATAAAAACGTTAATTGTATATTTCAGGCCACGTTTATTACTTCATATCAGCGTAAGCCTTGTCCGTCGAGCTTTAATTATCCTCTAAACAATATTTATTTCAAGCTTTCAACAATTCCGTAATGCCTGATAACATTTACTGAACATTCGATAAGTGCCCACATACTTATGGCCGTTTAATGATAAAAACGTTATAAACCGAATGATTGGCTCGCGCCAATACGTCGGTTACTTGCATGATCAATTCCGCGACGAAAGACGTCAATTTCTCTTGTACAACTTGTAGAATTTTCTGGTTCCACGACGATACACAGACTACCATTTAAACGTTGTATTACCAGTCAAGACATTTACCACCTTTCATTCGAATGCACTTTTCTCGTTAAATCGATCCTTCTCTCTCTTCTTTAACAGATGTTTTTCCACTGCAATTCAAAGTTCCTCCGACCTTAGACCACCGCCAGTCGTCTCGCATGACCAGTTCGGAAAACCGGAAACCCGTGGCGCAAAACAAACTAACTCGATAATTGTGCCAGGCTCCCCCGCCCTCTGGGGCGCTATTCCTTTGAGCTCTAGCTTCGCGTATAATTAATAGCCGGGGAACGTTTCGGAAAATTAGGTCGCGCGGTTAAGTTCGTAAGTGTATATTCCCGATTTCTGGCGAACGCCAGCAACGCGCAGATTCGTTTGGCTGGTCGTGCGCGCGCGTTTAGCTGAAGCGGCCGAAACGTTCGTTCGGGCAATAGAAACGGTAGCCTAGCTAGCTAGCTACTAGGGAACCTCGACGCCAGACGAGGCGGATAGAGGACATTAACGAGGTTTTCGCTCGAATTAGCCCCGGGTACACGGAGCATTAAGTTTCCGGCACAGGGATTCCCCGTCCAACCAGTTCGTTCTCCCTTACCCTCCTAGTCGTTTTAATATCGAATTCCGTGTCTCTTTGAGCGTTCGGTAGCGTCCCGTACGATCGTCGTCGCGTTATTTCGAGCTGGTCGCTATCTTGGAGAACGAACCAGTGTGGAGAGAAAGGTAGCCGGCAAAAGGAGAAGGCAGGGGGTGGAGAAAAGAAAGAGTAAGAGTGGGCCCAGTATCTCGCGCACGTTGTGTGTGTTCGGGGGGGTGAGAGCGAGAGCTTTTAGCTGGATTAATTCGTCGTTCGGGGGTTCACGCGTTTCGGGTCGTCGACTTCCGTCATAGGCATCGTCCGGAGGAAAAGCCTCCGACAATTCTCTTTTGCTACCCCCTCCTCCCTTCTCCGTTCGTCGTTCTCACCCCCCGGCGTGTGTTCGGTCTGGAGAACGGAAATCAGCGACTTTGCAGTTTCCGCGCGAATTCCCCGCCTCGCCGAGCCGTCGTCGTCGTACACACCACCCTCCTGGCGGCGCAGCATTATCAAAAAGTGTGAGACTGAAAGAACCGGGACGCGAAGCGGACGGGTGGGCGAACGGGGGTGAAAGGTCGGGCGAGAGAGCGTGTACGTACCGCCTGAAGCGTTAAATGGTGCTTCTTTCTCTCTTACTCTCTCGTTCTCTTCTTCTTCATCGTTTTTTTGCCCATACCCCCCCCCCTTCCATCTCTGGCCGTCTTTTCTTTCCCGCCCCCGTTATTTTACTTCCTTTGTGAACTGGCTATCGTTTGTTTCTCGTACGAATCTCTCCGACGAGCGAGAGACACACAAGCCTCTCTGCCCGGTGAGGCGCGCGATGCGGCGTTTTCCCGTTGCACAAATACTCCTCGTCGTCTCGTGTCCCCGCGCGCTGCACTTTGCATTTAGTCGGTTCCACGACCGATACGCGTCGGTCTATCTCTCGTACGTGTGTGTCCGTTCGCCGCGTGTTCTCTTATTCCGTGTGTGCACTCGTGTTGCACCGCTCCAGGGCTTTCAGGCTGGCGGCTCGCAGCTCCCTCCGGCGCAGGGCGATTGTATGCACGCGAGCGCACCTGCACCCGTTATTTCCTACCGTGTCCCGAAAAGCTTGGCCCACCAAAAATTTGCCAGAGAACGGTCGTTATTGAGCCATTCCCGGCGACCACCCCAGCGACCGTTTACCGAAATCCGTTCCCGGTCCGATGAAACTCTCCCTGTCTCGCCTCCCCTCGCTTGTGAATGACCGACCTCGACAACAGCTCGTTGCGTTTCGTATAATCGGCCGTGCGGTTTTTCCCAGAAAATTTCCATCAGTCCTCCACCCGCGTCACTACACGCATACTCGATCCTCTTTCACAGTCGATTCGGAAAGGTGTACACAATATACTTACTGTTACAGCCAGTTCAGACGATACGGTTTTTTGATTGATTCAGTAATTTCAGTAATTTAAACAAAGGAAGTTGGATTTTCGATGAAGAGACGGAATCGTATGAACGCTGCTTTATTATCGATTCGGCAAAATTATCGAATCCTTCAAAAAACCATACCATCTGAACTGGCTGTTGGGAAATATCGTGTGTCGAGGCGCGAATCCATATTCGAAGAGTGAAAATACAACAATCTTGCCAGATGCTCTGTCTAGTACCGATTGCAACTTCAGATCCCACTTCGGATCCTATCGATGTAATCGAGTTAACGATTCAAGGGAACTCCGGATCAAAGTCTCGAAGTGAAATGAATTTCGAATAAAGAATTAACAGACCATAGGATCTTAGAAAGATTAGCTGGAACCTGGTTGTTCTGCCAGCGTATCGATCGGTGACTTCTTCGGATGTCTCTCGAAGCGCTACAGTGAGAGAACGCACGACGTTCTTTTCCTCGACGGGGAATGGGACACTTCAGTTGTACACACGACAGCTTTTCTTTTATTCAAACGGTTTCGGTGGCCTGGCGTGTAACGATTCCTCGCCACAGCGGCACGTAGCGCAGCAGCCACGCTGCGCGGTAACGTCTCGCGACCAGAAAGAGTGCGCACGCCTGTTCCTCTCCTTTTCTTCCCCGGTTTAGGCCAGTTGCCAGAGTTTCACGTGGGTGACATGCGTGGAATGCGATACCCTGCATTTTACGTCCGCGTGGCGGACGTGAGATGCAAAAGTGGCGTACGTGTGGGCGTTCGAGCGCGAGAAGCGCAATAAAGAGGGACATTGAAAGAGAGACGGAGGGGATCCAGGTGTCGAGGGAAGACGCGAGAGGAAAGAGGGGATCGCTGGTTGACCCCGCATTGGATTGACTGGAGGATACGAGGGTGGGAGACGAACGATCGGACGAAGAAGAGGAGCGAGGGAGAGCTTTGGAATACATTACCCTAGGATTTTCATCGAGACTCGGTCGCGAGGACCAGCCGCGCACCCCTGCGTCCCGTTTAAGCGAGATTCCGCCGAAAACTTCCGGTTCGACCGGTAAAATTGCAGTCAGGTTGCCTCCCCCCCCCCTCCCATCAGCCTGACAAAGTTTCCAAAAGGGCTTGCCGTGGAAGAGAAATCGAATAGAAGTTACTCCCTGATAAACGAAATCGAATTTATTGCTCTGCCGCCTTCGAGATTTAGCCTGATTTATTGTATCGCCTCTCTCTACCTACGACGGGGACCCCCTTTTTTTCCTTTCTACCTTCCTTTTGGTTCTCTACTGGAATTCTTTCGGCGTGTATGAACGCTGCTGGCTGGCGCTCGTCGAAGCGAATCATCCGGGGGGAACGATTGTTTCGAGAAAGATTGATTCGAGCGTGATCTTGCCGCGGGATTCCATACAGAAGTTTCCTCAGGGAAGTTCCCCACGGTCGCGGCTGAAGTTTCGTTATATATTTCTTTAATCGGTCCCGTGACTCACCGGCTCGGTTATCGTTCTAAACGATCAGAAAATCACCGTGGGCAGTAAGCCTGGATATATTTCTTCTTAGGTTCTGTTCATTTTCAATTTTGCGATCGTTTATACAAAACGAATATACCGGACGTTTTGTGTTATTCTTTCCCGTGATTCGTCGATGTGTTCCACTCGTTGTGCGACCGTAATTCAATTTTCAGGCTTGTTAGATCCCTGGGTCCGATACGTAGGGCAACGAATGCGAGGTGATGAGATTCGTTAAAGGGCTGCAAAAATGCTTGGGCGCAAAGAGCTTCCCCTTATTGATATCGCGGTAGTTCCGTGGATTTTGCCCTCGACTTCGCGTGACTTTTCTTCGCGGTTATCTCTTCTCTGTCTTGGCAATCTTCACCTAAGATTTAGGGAATTTCAGCCGTTGAAATATATCGCGTGGTGTTGATTGTGGTACGGCGAAGAATTTTGCTTCGTACGTTTTTAGCACACGTGTATCTGCTAATCTCACTCCACACAATCGTCCGCCAATAATTTCTGATGCATGTACACACACGGTGCCCATTACCATGTTAGGACTGCTCGAACGAGTCTTACGCGCCCACGCTTTGCGCAAGGTCTTCGGTTAATCCGGATTTAACAGGTGATACGTGAGTTACGTGATTAGAGAGGCGTAGCATTCTGGACGTCGGCGATCTCTGTTACTCGTTTGGCAATCGAGAGGTATGAATTGTGTAATTGATTGGAAGACGATTATAGATTTCTGAGAATGAAGTCTCAAGTCGTAGTGTATGGATCTCACGTCTAGAATTGTTACTGGTCCCCCGTTAGTTTGGATTAGTATTGTTGCATCGAGAAGTTTCGTCGCATGACATTTTATTTCTCTTAGAATTCTAACACAACACGCTAAACTATTTATTTACGAAACTTCAGTTAGATGATAAAGGTCATTTCACCTTTTCAATAAAAGACAGGTTTCCACAGGAATGCACAACGACTTTTGTCGATCACTGCTCAGAGAGACCTCTACGTTAAATACTTCTACTTCATGCCTCACTATTGGGGGATTTCACACTGGAGGCTCGGCACGAAATGCAGTCCATGAGGTGCAGAAATCGTGTCCCTCTGCAATAAG